GAGAGAGAGAGAGAGAGAGAGAGAGAGAGAGAGAGAGAGAGAGAGAGGGGACAGGAGAGGAGACAGAGGAGACAGAGGACACAGTCGAAAGCAGGACACAGAAGCTCTGTAAAAAGTGGGCTTTGCACACAGTGACGTGTGGGTGGGGGTTTAAAGCAAAGAATGGACACACAGACAAAAGATGACACACATGCAATTACAGCCACACTCGCTTAAATCAAAAGTCACCGTTATTACACCATTGTTCCAATTTCCACTAATTTATGGACGTCATATTTAAATGGCCCTCTCCTGTTTTGTTTATTCCCTGAGCCAATTTGCACCAAGCAGATATGAAGAAAAGTTAGAACTAACACTCATCCTAATAGCTGTGACTAACCAATATGAATCAGCCCTCCACCCATCATGAACCTCGCATAGAAGCTCAGTGGGCTCGCAGCACGAATACATCAAAATATCTATTCTTCCATGAAAATCATTTCTGATGTCAGTTAGAAAAAAAACCGGAAGCATCCATAAGCCGTTACCTTAGGTAGCCCTAATCCAGTGACGGAGACAGTTTCACTCTGCAATGCCAGAGCTGAAAGCATGCAAGTGAACCAAAAACAACAAGGTGCCACACACACACACACACACACACACACACATAGTTAATGAAGCATGGAGAGCTGATCCACCAGTGGAGCTAACAGTCTACTCATCACTCTGTTCCACACCATTACAGCACCACAATGGACAGAAAGTTTGCTGCTGTATTCGGACTGTGTGTGTGTGTGTGTGTGTGTGCAGTGCTGGCCTCCTAGCTATGAAATAAAGTTCACTCTCTATATGGATGCAACACACACACACACACACGCACACAAAGACTTGTCTTGCTATCCTAATATTAACTCTCCATTTCTGACATGTTTCTAATCTTAACCCTCAAATTTAACTGCTGAAACCATTTACAAACGGTAAACGAAGTCTGAATTCTAAAATAAACTCTTTCCGTCCCCAAGTAATTATGATCAAACTGTTGCTACACTATGACAGCAGCTACAGAGAGCTGACAGCCAAAGACTCACAGCAGGAGCGAGACTGAGACCCTGCTCCTCACATCACATCTACAGCTTGCTCATGCTTGCAGGATGTTAGTGGGAGTTCTTTCGGTATTGAGGGTTCACTGTTGCTTAGTTCTTTGAGTATTTTGAGTAAATCTATAAGATAAGTTTCACATCTATCGAGACTGCACCATGCCGGTAAAAATCAGATTTAAAAAAGGGAATTTTTCGTAGCTGAAACTCTATTGCTGCGTCGATTATACTCAACTGACAGCAAATAAATCTAAAACAATTTTGAGAATCAATCATATAAGTAATTTATTTTTCTGGCTTCTCAAGTGTGAATCTTTGCTAGTTTCCTTTGTCTGAAATATTTAACATAATACCGTTGGATTTTGGATTGTTGGACGGACAAAGCGAACATTCGAATATGTCAGCTTGGGTTTTAGAGAAACTATTTTCTAGCATTTTATAGAAAATACCAAAAAAAACGATTAATCAAGAAATGAATCCTCTGATTTATCGATAATGGAAATGATTGTTAGTTGCAGCCTTAGAATTTCTTGTGCGATCTACTAGTAATATCAAACGCTGCTGCCTGCTTTACCAATGCTCTGTCTAGATGTAACATTAGTTCACTGTTGTGTAGTTTCTGTACTTGTCTTCTTTGCTGTCTCTGACTTGCCCTTTACATCTCAGTGATGTACACCTGACACCTATTCTGTTTCTCTCACACCAACCACAGATTAGTCGGGGAGGGAGGAGGGATGCAACGGGCAGATGAGAGAGGACAAAGAAGGACCACCAGGGAAACGGGGGCAAGGGGGCCCGATTTACCTGAAGGGGCCCCCCAGGGTAGAGGTTTAGGCCTGGGTCACTGCGTGCACCCCAGGATGATTTGACAAAACACCCCGCTCCCATAGTGGTGGTGATGAGTGAACACAGAGGCTGGAGACACTAATTACACTGTGCTACAAAACGTATGTATGGGACATGCACCTATAGAACAGTACTGCTAATATGCTGTTGGCATACACATCACTGGCATGCATAGATTGAGCTAAATAGTCATAGAGCCGAACAAGAGGAAGACTGGGACAACATAAAATAAAGAAAAGAAAAAGTTGATAGGGGAGATAATTCAATGCTACACCTAATTCTGCTCTAAAATGCTGTCAGTGGACTCAAGAAACAACCACACCCTCCTGACAAATAGTCAATCAGAGGCCTTTGAAGGGACTGGCTTGGATTTGTTATGATAGGTCCCGGTGACAGCTGAATGGCTGGCAGCACGGAAATGCTTCTCGTCTTACAGGGGCGACGGCGAGACAGTGGCTGATTGACTGATAGACTGACAGACGGAGAGTGAGGATCTCCCATAATGCAATGTGATGGGATCTTTCACAAGCAGAGCCGATGCAGCACGGTTCACATTTGTTTGACTGGGCGTGCGTTCTTGATGTTGTGGGAACATCATTGTTGTGGGATCAATGCAACGCTTGCCCGTAGAGGTGTGGAGACACAAAGAATGAGCTTTCCTGATGCTGTTATGTTATTTCTTTCAAACAACCATAGCTAGTTACTAAGTGCTTAAGGCAGTCACGACATGTCAGAAAAATACCATGGATAGTCAATCAAAACATAAGAATAAAAAGTATCGATATTTAGTCAACCAACAGAGAAATAATTGAAAGCTATCTTGATAATTGATTAATTCTTTAAGTATATTTTATGCGATGGTAAATTCAATATCTTTGGGTTTTGGTCAGACAAAACAAGCAAAGAATGAATTGGTAATGAGGATAACAATTATTTGCAATGGAATGGGAATAGAGCTTTTAGTATTTAGCTTATGAATTTAAAGCTGTATACAATAAAGTCCTGTTTATATGTATTCTACAGGCAATGAATGGATGCTAAAATGGGGGTGGGTTTTCTTTAGTTCCAGTGGAGAAATGGAGATATAGCAAGTTTGAGTTACATGGTCAACAAAGGACATGTGACATGACAGAGGAGAAGGCATATAGAGGTAAAATATGTGAACTATAAAGACAGGATACAAGTGGATGACAAAAACACTTGAATGTACATAATTGCTGAGGAAAGAGAGGGGAATGAAAAGATGAAGGACAAGACGGATAGTAGAAAAGCCTGGAGTGAATCATGAGACCCAAACATATGACAGCCCCGTGAGCGTAAGGAATACAAGGGGCATTGATAACACACACCAACACACAACCACAAACAGATACACACACACACACAAGATGCAGAAACTGTTTAGCAGTTAAACCTGATAAGCTAAACCTGTTTGCTTTATTAATGGGGAACAACAACCCAAAAGATGACAAAGCAACAGCTGCAATAGGTCCTAAGTTTCGATTTGAGATCACAGAACAGTGCCGAAGGCATGCAGTTACCCAAATGTGGTGCTTCGACTCACATCCAAGCACCACACACATACAGTACAGATGGAGTTGAGGAGGGACGGCTGTCATGCGGTGAACATGTGGTTGCCAGTGCAGGTGGTATGTTGGTGATCAAAGTGTTGATGGAGGAGAGAGACGCATCTTAATTCATTAGATATGTTCTCACGGAAGGTAGTAGAAAGAGAAAGAGGAGCGGGGAAAGTAGAGGATCTTCTGTGGATAAATGGCCGGACAAAGCCAGCGACAGCAGTCCAGAGGCGCCAGAAAACACTGTAGAACACTGAAGAGTCAATGGGTCAATGAAACATCTACAGTGGCAGCTGCCCACTTGATATACTGAGGGACATATCCACACTCACACATTCAGTTCTTGCACTTTTAGATGCTGCCTGTTGCACAAATACGTAATGATGCAGTCTGATGAGAAAAAGTCACCTTATTATGCACATGATCGCGGCCAAAAGAACTGCAACAATGAACCCTGTGTATTAGAAATTCAGTCTCTGTGCATCACTGTTTCAATATCTCTGCTGTTCAGGAGAGACAACAAACTTTTGTATTAAAAATAATCAAATTTAAGTGCCTGGT